AGAATATTTGGAGTTACTATGTAATCTTGAGAATTTAGTTATTTAATTTAATTAAATTCCATTATATGCTTCCATTGAAGTAGTTAGGTATTGAAGTTGTTTTCATGCTTAACTTGTAAATTTGTAACTTTTTGTATGATTACATTATAGTAATCCATGAGTAGAAGTTATAGTTTAACTTACTTATATACACATTATATATTTGACATGTCGTATGCCATTGTAGCTTGAAGACATAGGATGAAAATTGTGTGTTTTACTTGACTTGTTTGTGCATGGTAGTTGACTAATATATTGTGTATATGTATTATACCTTGATGCACAACTTAATGATTTTAGGAAAGCTTACAAGAACATTGTAATATGTTACAGCAAGGGCATGGCTCTAGTACGGGGGATGAGAGCTCCGCCTACAACATATAGTGCGCACTGGGTGGTACCCTAAGGGCTAGTAACCCAAAAACACCAATATACGGTTTTATTCCGGGTTTAGTGCACACTAGGTAGCACCTTGAGGGCTAGTAACCCGAGATCACTTGCTTGGTCATTGAGACCGTATGTCCTTGTCTTTCCGCAACTACTTGATTTCGCATTCAATTTCAAGTTGTTTAATATGGATTATTTATAACTTGTGATGTGGTGTTTGACATTTCAATTAGGTATAGTATACATGTGCTTAGTATACTTGGATGCCTTGTTTTTCAATACAAGTTAATAGCACTAAATTGTCATAACTCGTTGTTTCCGTAGTTTAGATTTCAAGTTGTTAACTTTGATAATCTATGCCTTGATGCGTTGTATTAGAAGTTCTAATGTTAGTAAAAATTGTATTGATATTGTAATTTGGGTATTAATTATTTAATGTAGCCTCGGATGATTCCTTAGACTCATTTGGAACATAGACATTAGATGGCATGAACCGTTTCTGTTGTTTTCGCATTTTAGGTTACAAGTTGATAACTTTGAATACCTATGTCTTGTTGCGTTACACTATATGCTCCTATGTTGTTAAATTGCATGCATGATGTGCTTTATGCTAGAAATGCTCTAAGGTAGCTTAGGATACTCCCTGAATCTCACCTTTGACATAGACGCTAGGTGGCATGACCGTATGAATTGATTTATAACAACTTAATAAGTTTGTAAAATGCTAGGTCTATGCATGCTCATCTCTTACGAGTAGCTTTATGTTACTCACCCACGTAGTGGAGGCATTTTTCAGGTACAGGATTCAAGATTTGGGGCTTTGCATTTGCTTTGGGATGTCCTATAGACTTGAAGTATCTATTTCATGAAAATGTTAGCATGAAATGCTATTTTTGATTCAAAATGTCAAAACTTGTATATTTGGTTCTAAATATGTAATAAACACATAAGTGCGCCATTTGGGATGTTTTTGACATGTATGTAATGAGGCCATGACCAAAGAACATTTTATTTGTATTCTAAGTACTTTTATTTCTAAGCTATATTGTTAAAAATAGAAAAATGCAAATGCTTTTCCTTCACTACATTTGCATAGGTGGTGGGAAGTGGGCTTTAGCACTTCCATAGGGTCTCTTCATTTATGTATGAAGTGTGGACAAGGGCCAAACGATCCTTTGAAACCATTTGATAATTTTTAGTTTCAAGTTTCTCTTTTAAAAGCCATTTTAGGCATAATTTGAGGTTTAATAGGTGATATTTTGTATATAGCGACCATTGAGGCCGTAGGCCATTGGAACGCGTATAAGTATGTATATTACGTTTGCGTGAATACTCACCTTGCACAAAATATCACATTTGTATGAAATGGATGCTTATTGGTCTCAAGTTTTCCATTTAAGGCATTTTCTTTGCATTTTGAGGTTCAGATAGGTCGTATTTTGCATCGGGCATTTTTGGGAGCCACGGACCATTCCCGCGCACTTAAAATCACTAAATACGTTTGCGTGCATGATCGTTTTAGCACACAACACCATTTAGGGTCAAATGAACACTTGGTGCAAAGTTTTTTTTTATCGTTTTTGACCTAATTTGATCTGGGGGCATTTTAGGAATTTCTTTTGAAAAATAAATTCCGGCCTTAACATGGTCACATAGAAAACGTAATTTTAGGGGGGGGTTTCTTCACAACATTTTTTCATAAAATGCTGTCTCGGTCTCGAAAACCCCGCGTCAAATCTGATTTTCTGTGCGCATATGCACTTTTTGAAAAAGTCTGTTATAAGGGCATTTTGAAGATTTCATGTCAAAAATAAATTTTTCTTTCGATATGGTCAGCTTGGAAAAATTATTTTGAGGGGGGTTTCTTCTTCGTGTTTTTCCAAAAAACGTAATTTAGTGCCTCAAAACGGCACCCGATTTTCAACATTTTGCCCAGGTCACTATTCACTGCTGTCAAAACACTATTCATTGCTGTCAAAACACTATTTATGGCCGCGGCGACGTCAAAACTTTGTTTTGACTTTTCTCTTCCATCCGGATTCCGAATCAAGTGATTCTTGAGTCTAACTTGATTAATTTTTCGCTATCTTTCCAATAGTGTGCTCGGTAGCACCCAAATCTTGCTAGAAATTATCATTTTGCCCTTGGGGCTAAACTTGTCCCTTTTAAAAACGTTGCTTCCGCTTGTATTCTTTTGGGTTCTATGACTTCATGGGAAGCCACGCTTGTGTCTTGGGGATGATGAACATTTCTAAAGACTTTTTTCCATGTAAAAAGACCATTTTGCCCTTGGGGGCTTATTTGGTTCTTTTTCCGATCTTTTTCTTCCGCGTTAGTTCTCATTGAGTTCCGTGGCCTTATGGAAGGTCACTTTGGCGTCTTAGAGATGCATTGCACCTCTAGAGACTTAATTTCTATTTTCACTTCCGCATTCGAATCCGTTATTGGGTCAAACTTTGGTTCATCACAGGACGCATTGGCTTGGAAAACCAGGGCCGTCACACTTCTGTTAAAAAATGGTCTCCCCATCAACTTGATGTGAACAACGCATTTCTTTATGGTCATTTGGATGAAGAAGTGTACATAAATTTTCCACCTGGTTTTGCTCCACAGGGGGAGACTCGAGCTTGCAAACTACATAAATCTCTTTATGGTTTGAAGCAGGCTTCTCGCCAATGGTTTGAAAAGTTTTCTCACACTCTTCATGATGTTGGATTCTCCCAATCACGAGCAGATTACTCTTTGTTTACCCGGATCACAGGCCAATCTTCCACTTTTGTCTTGGTGTGTGTCGATGACATCATCGGTACTGGTAATGACTTATATGCAATTCAGCAATTGAAACACTTTCTTGCACAAAATTTTTTCATCAAAGACCTTAGGCGACCGAAATATTTTCTTGGAATTGAGGTTGCGCGTTCCCAGCGAGGCATATTTTTGTCCCAACACAAATATACATTGGACATCCTTAAAGATGCAGGATTACTTGGTGCTAAGCCTTCTGCCACTCACATGGAACAGCACCTTTGTTTGACTCCTACTGATGGTACACCTTTATTAGACCCTTCTTCATATCGTCAACTAATAAGCCGTCACATCTACCTCACAGTTACTAGACTTGATCTTGCATATTCAGTTCACATTTTGGGTCAATTCATGCAAGATCCTCGCACTCACATGGATGCAGCCACTAAAGTGCTTCGCTATCTCAAAGGCACATCTGGAAAAGGTATAATGCTCTCTTCATCAACCTCACTCACTTTGAAAGTTTTTTGTGACTCTGATTGGGCAGGATGCCCCACAACTCGTCGCTCTACCACTGGTTTTTCTGTTCTCCTTGGTTCTAATCCCATCTCATGGAAAACAAAGAAGCAAAGTACTGTCTCTCACTCATCCGCTGAAGCAGAGTATCGTGCCATGGCAACACTTACATCTAAACTTTAGTGGCTGCAATACCTTTTGAATGACCTTGGTATGTCTCACACAACACCAATCACTCTCTATTGTGATAACCAAGCAGCATTCACATTGCCGAGAATCCGGTGTTTCATGAGCGCACAAAACACATTGAACTTGATTGTCATTTTGTTCGCGAGAAAATTCAGTCCAAATTGATTTCTCCTTGTTACATTCGATCCACTGAACAAATCGCCGACATTTTTACAAAACCTTTGGGAAAGGATCAGTTTCATTGTCTCATGAGCAAGCTGGGTGTTACTCACATACACGCTCCACCCTGAGGGGGAGTATTGGAGACAATCAAGGCATTACAACAATAGACCAGCAAAATCAAATCTGGAAAGCTTGATTACAGCAATTGTAATTTGTACATTAGTTTGGTTAGCTATAATTTTGGGATTTGTTAGCCGTCAATATTTGTCAAATATTTATTGTATTAAACATCTATATATACAGAACGAATCTGTGGTTTTCCATAAGGGAAAAACCGATTAAACAATTTTCCATTCTTTTCATTCCCTGCCATATTCAATTTTTACAGTAGTTGTTGTATTTTTCATAACATTCCAGATGGTTCTAGTGTATGAAAAAATAATTTCATGAACTTTAGAAAATACAAATTAGAAGTTGAGAATTTTGAGATCTGAAAAGTCAGTTATAGACAGTCAAGATCTTTATCTTGAGGTAGATCAATGTTAAGTGGCTTATACTTTGCTAAACACTTAATTAATTGAGTTGGTATTTAATTATCCTTGAAACCTTCAAATGGTTTGGATTATGGGGTTTGGGCACAACAGGGTGGTAACGAATCTCAGTTAGTACTAATGGGGTTTGTGTGATGAACGATATTTTGGAGGCCTGTGAAATTATGTGGAGAAATTATTTTTTTCCTAGTCAATTGATCATTCATCCATTCATTTATTACTATTATTATTAGCCAATGATCACAAAATCTTTAAACATTTGTCTAATATGCTCGTAGAAAGTGGGGGGAATTCCTCGTCGTTTGCTTGGATATGGTACCATCAGAGCAATGGGTGAAGGATAGCTACAAAAAGCACAGCACCCTAAAAAAAATTTTATATATATATATATATATATATAGAGGGACTCACCGCATTATTGAAGACAACGACACTAATGCCAGTGAGGAGACCAACAAAGCAGGCGGAGATTATTGCTGTGTTATTCCCACTGGGTAGAGCTGCCACTCCTCTCTGCTGATTATCAGTAATCGATTCCCTTTCCCTTTCCCTTTTTTGTAATACATCATCATCATCTTCTTCTCTAGGGTTGCCGTTGCCGACCCCAACCCTGGAATTGAATTTTGGATGGGAACGGAAAAAACTACCGCCAAATCCGAGACCATGGTGTCGGAGCTTACTCGTAACGGAAAAAAATGATTTGAAGTTGGAGTTGGAGTCGGAGTCGGAGGACGAAAAATAGTAGGTGAAGGAGGAGGACGGTGCCGCTGATTTGTTGCAGCAGAAAGAAGCAGCAGCAAGAAAGATAGGAGGCGGCGAGAGACAACACAGTGAGTTGGGGAAATGCAAAACACGTTCGCAGCCACAGGCAGTGGTAATCAGTCTCAGTCCTCCCATAATCCAATACGCACCCACCCACCCACGGCTCGGAGGCTGCCGCTATGGAGATTGAATAATGTCATAACCCAGCAAACAAAGGAGATATACTCCTTCCTAACCGTTGGTTAATAGTTCGTTGGGAATCTTATCCATCTATTTAATTAAGTGATAATACACTTACCGCCCTCGAGGTTAAACTTAATTACAAAAGGTACCACTACCGTTCCAAAAATTACAGTCACCTCCCTCAAATGTGAGAGACATTAAGTTATGCTAGAAATGCATGTGAAAATATTAATATAATCTCTATTATTATACTAATATAACAACTTATCGAATTATATTGTCAGATGACACTTTTACTCACCTTTATTATGATGTAGCCTTTCACAGTAGTACTATTTATATACGAGTGTGTGTATATATATACAAGATAGAATATATGATATATACACAAATAAGTTGTTATATAGCGGCCTTTTCTCTTGGTTTAAGGTTGACGATCTCGCTGACTAGCCAACAAGAATAATTGGCGACATGAATTGAGCCTCGACATGGTTAGTCAATTTCTCCAAAATTAAAGTATTGGAAATCATTCAAACCCGAACCCATCTAAACCCTAATATCCTCCATCACCTCGCTCTCCTCCCCGACAGCTCCCCACGAATTCGTGACCACCCACTCCGCCACCGTTGCCATCTTCTCCACCTAAACCCTCGAGCCCAAATCCACCATCTCCACCTTCTTTGACACTACCACCTCCGCCTTCTACAACTCCAATGGCCACCACCTAGCCACCGGATCCCTTTCTGGCCTCGTCCAGGTATTCGACATCAAGACCCGCCCCCCTTTCCGTCAAATCCGAGACCATTCTCACCCCGTCCACCTCTTCCACTACCCCCACCTTAATAATCTCCACCTCTTCTCCTGCGGTGATGACTCTGTCATCAAGTATGGGACATCATGTCCCAAACCCAGATCAGTGAACTTCTAGGGCACAAAAAACTACTCCAACTCCTCTATCTAGCAATCACTTAACTCCGTTTCTCCAACTATATCTAATCCGAAGGTATGATTTGCGGAAGAGCAATCGTCGACGACGATCCATAGAACCCATGAAGAAGAAAGGACACGAGATGTGGACATGAGTTCTTTGACCCTGGTGAAGAAGAAGATGGGAAATTAGGGTTTCAATGGAAGGGGTAAAAAGATGTGGTGGAGACGTTTCTAATTGTGCTGGATAGTGGTTGTGGCGCCCCTGGTGCTTGTAAAGTGAGAATGATGGTGGTTGTAATATCCCTAATTTTAAACGGATAGTCTCGGTATTTATTTAATTATTTTATTTGCATTTTTATATTATTTATTTGATTTCTTGGCTATTTGTTTAATTGCTTATTTGAATTAATTGTTTATGTAGTTATTTGAACTAAGTTGTTTGTTTATATTGTATAATAAATGATTAGTATTTGTTTGCTTATATATTAGGTGTTTACTTGTAATTATTTGTTAGGAATTAAATAATTTAAATGTTTGTTTTATTCTATTCTCTTTTATTTTAATGGATATGGATAGTAGTAATGGTCCAAACTTATGGGTCACATAGACTACTTGGATAGTGTTATCAGTGGGTACGGATAATTACCCATGGATAGTGGTACATATATATATATGGGTATATATGTATCCTAGGATATTATAATTATTAGTATTTTAAATAATTAATATTAATGAATATAGTTAGTTTATAGATATATAGTCATAAGTAAATTATATATATAGATATATAAATATATATGTGTGTATTCACATTACAGACTTAAAAGTTATATACATACGTATTTTATTTTATTTTTAATTTATTTTCCCTTATATTAGAGTTGGGGAAGGAATGGGATTAGGGTTTTATTTTATGCCTATATATATATACATATTATGGGTCTGCATAGGGTTGTTATAAACCCATTAAGTAGACATAGAGAGAGGACGTGAGAAACAGAGGGGCATAAAAAGAGAAAGCTGAGAGTTTGGTGAGGAAGAAGGAGATTCGGCCATGAGAATTGAAGACCGAACCCAAGGGAAAGAAAGAGAGGGCTGTGCGTGGACTAAGGTGTGCAGCAGAGAGGTTTGAAGGCCACAAGGGTCATCAGAACAATTAGAGAAGAAGAGAGTTTAAGGGTTTCATTTCGAAACATTGAAGGCAAGTTCTTCTCCTACTCTCTCCCTTTGATTTGTGTTTCTATACATGCCTAGGAGATTCTAGGATACTTAAATAATATAATTAAACAATTATGCATGTTTGAATCGGATTAGAACAGAGGATTTCATAGTTTTATTCACCTGTTCTTATTTTGTTTATGTTTTTGATTTATGTTGCATGATTTGTTGTTTAAGTTTGATCTTTATATGGTAGGACATCTAAAATAAATTATTATGAGAGTATGGGACTTAGATCAAAGGTAAGAATTCTATCAATGGAGGTAGGACGGAAAAACAGAGGAGTTACAGGAAAAAGTAGTCGACTATATTGAAGGGCATAGTACACTACGCATTATAACGACCCGAACTCGGGGGGCCAAATCGTTTACCGGGTCCTTACCCGAACCCGAGGTCATCTAACGGCACTATGGTAAATTTTAAGGTCAATATTTAATATACGTGCCATCCCAAGGCTTATACAAAATGAATGAGATCACAAGTACAAAAAATGATAAAACAGTCCACTAACCCATTCAAACCTATGGAGGAACATCGTCCGCCACTTCCTTCCCGTGACCTGAAAAATGTAATAATATAATGGGGTGAGCTCAACAGCTCAATAGGTAATGCCTAAAACACTGGTTTTGGACTCCCTTGAGCCAACAACCAAAGAACGAGGAAAAAAAAGTCAGGATCATACGCGGGGAATTATAAAAATCACAATCCACGTCATTCAATTAAAAAAAAAAAATTATCATCACATAATCAGTCTAATCATAGGTGTCAAAATGCCATGAAATGCAATGTATTGCGTAACCATCCCGAGCTTGGTCTCATACTAACCCCAAATCCCTACCCACGCTAACTGACTTTATCGAACTAGGATTGACAATCTTAGGGTCAACTTTTTCACACCCTTCATCGGGCCGCACCCACTCTAGGTCACGTTAGCCGTTAATTGACTTTGCCGAGCCGGAATTGGCACTCTTATTGCCACTTTTTCACGCCCTATACTGGCCCGCGCCCACTCTAGGTTAAGTTAGCCCGAGGCTCGCGATATCTGGTTCGTTTCTAAATCATTTTCTCACAGTTCCCTTTCAATCACATTTCTTTACAAGAATCATTTCAACCTTACTTTTCCCAAACTATGCTCATGCCATGAATGGAATCATGCATGAATAAAATTAACAATAAACATGCTTGCATTTTATCAACTTAATCATACATACTCATCATCATCATCATGTATATATATATAACCTCAAGAGAACAATTCAACACAAGGCATGCTCATTTAACAACTTTGCAACTAAGCACATATATATATACAGTTAACATCATTTAGATCATGTTTCGCCACATAAATATGTAAACACATAATCAACAATTTAATCCTAATATTCGTCATTTTAAGCATACTTAGCAAGAAATCAAATAACGAACTCAACTAAAGTCAAAACGTGATGGCTTAGACATCCTTACCTCAAAAGTAGCCAAAATGCATCCCCGACCGGAAAAAGTCAACATCAATCAACGCGGTCAATGCTGGTTAACAAAAAGTCAACGCCAATCAACGGTGGTGGAATGAAAAACTATATGGTGGGAACGTAGCCGTCGACAAGGAGATTCCACTGCTCCAAAGGGTCAGCTCCAGAATCCGACTCCAAATGGCCCAAAACCCCCTCCGAAGCCTTAGATCCAAAAATTTTAAAAATTCGTAAAATAATCACCATTCCCCATAAAATTAAATCCTTTGACTATGTAATAGAGAACGACGAGAGAGACGTTTTTCGTCAAGGAACCAAAATTGAAAACCTGATCGATTGGCCGAAAAATGAAAGAAAAGCTTGAAGCTTAAATAGAGGAAAAAAATGAAAAGAAAATAGAGAACAGAGGATGAGAGAGACAGCGTGACTGAGAGGAGAAGAATGATAGTCAGGTAATGGTTGTGAAGTCATTTGTAATGACTTAAATCATCTGCGGGTCCCACAGCTTATTAAAATATCAACCTTAACATTAATATATATATATATATATATATATATATATATATATATATATATATATATATATACAAGCACATTTAAACACAACACTAAGTAATTAAGTATAAAATAATAATGCATGAAATGTAACAAACCAGAAAAATAATCCCCGTGCGCTATAATACGGGTTGCGGGTCTGCTTGGGACCTCCCAGCCCGAAAAATTGAAAAATGCCGAAATGGCCAACAATGCATTTCTAAGAGTCCCGAATTAAAAAAAAATGCCCCAATCAACTCTCGGGACACACTTGGCACGCCCCACGGTGGCTGGCACGTAAAACGAGATAAGACAAAAATATCCTTAAAAAATCAAAAATTTCCAAAAATTAAAAAACGGGGAAAATCAAGATCATTACAATTTACCCTCCTTAAAAAGATTCGTCCTCGAAATCTACTCTCATTAAGAAGGAAACCCATAGCCACACACCTTCCCGAGAACCACCTCACCCAGCCGCAGGACTATAAGCTCACCAACCTTATTGCATGTGACACCAGACATCAATAGGCAATCACACACTACTGCCACAAACCCAGTGCTCGCCACCCTATTAGGATACTCATCACTCACAACTTCATACACAAAACCCGCTGGATTCCATACTCAACTCAAAACCGACACTGGTCCACTTTACACCGTTACGCAAAGCTTCGGAGCCCGAAAGAAGAACGGTCACAAAACCTATGACCATGACAACATTCGATCTCTTGAAAAATTTAATTAGGTCATTAAAACAATATAATGGAATTTAATTAAAACATGATAATTAAATTCCTAGATTCTAAAACAATATTGAATGGTCCCAATTTAACATATGCTAGTGTACAAATCCTAGTCATCACAAATA